TGAGGATATGTTCCGCTCTCAGTAATCTCTGTGGGAACCAGACATGGACATCTGTGCATATAGCAGCCGCTCATGTTTAAATTTCTCTATTTCTGTTCCCTTGGAGGTTTGTGGCACAAGCAGGAGGCAGGACAGAGCTGCTCTCCCATCAGCAGGCATTTTGCCACCAACTCGTGGGAACACAAACTGGCCAGTGCAGCTGAACCGCGCCTGATGTTGGCCGTGTTTTGCATTTAAAATAAATGGTTCTGCTTTGGGAAGAATTTCTTAGTTCCAAGAGTGCAACGAAACACAGAATTGAAAAAGAACAAAATGAAAGAAGCAGCAGACAGCTTCAGATTGTGACCAGCAGCAGTCAGATGGACTCTGAGAGCACAACCCCACCAAATTCGGTGTGAGTGCTGTTCAGAAGCACACTCCACAAACCATACTTGCTTGAATCAGCTTTTTGGTATAACATGATTCAGCTCTCCATGAAAATGCAGGAAAAAAAACATACTCAGAACAGCGACTGTATCAGCTCTGTCATATCAGGGAAAATGTCCCTGCTGCCACAGGCCCAGGTAATACACATCTCCTCTTCCTCCTGCCTCCAAGGGCTTCTGTTCTTGGTAGAAGCAAGCAGAGACATTTCCCACGTAACAGTGACAGGATGAGAAGGAATGGCCTCACTTTGTGCCTGGGGGGTCCAAGTTGGGCATTAGGAGAGACTTCTCCAAGAGAGTGGTCAGGCACTGGAATGGGCTGCCCAGGGAGCTACTGGAGTCATCATCCCTGGAGGTGTTCAAGACCTGTGGACATGTGGCACTGAGGGACATGGATCTAGAGTGGTCACAGCCATGGACTGATGGTTGGACTCAGGGATCTTTCCATCCAGCATCTCTGATTACACACAATATGCTGAATTGGCATTTCCAGCTGTCCTTCGTTTTTGATGCAGATACAGAAATAATTACAATTACTGCTTATTACAGCCCTTTGAGTAATTTTCCAACAGCGCCAAATTAATTTAATTTCAGCAACAGTAATATATTTTTTAAATGGAAAAAAAACTGTAGCAGTAGTACAAAAAGTGATATAAATTGTATATCAGAGTTAAGTAGTTGGAGAGTCAGGGAGCAGTTGGTGGCTATCTCGCAGATTAGTTGTACACACACACAGTGTAGCAGCTTTATTTGTATCTCTGGGCTGCTCCTTCTGCCGCACTCCCTCCCCTTCCCTTTGCAAATCACAGCACTCCCGCAGTGGGAGGCTGCTCTGTGCAATAGCAGCAAGGAGCTGGGCCAAGCAGCCGGAGCCTGACCTCACAGAGCACTCCTGGGCACTGCCGCACGGCGCACGCAGCTCCTGCTCCCAGTGCTGCAGGTGGCTGAGGCACGTTAGGAGCTGCCCTCACTCGTGAATGGGACACACCAGTGATAAACTCAGTGCAACATGGGGATTTACACCATGTCCTCAAAGCTGTTCTGCACATGGCTTCTGCTGGATATTGCAGCCACCCTAACGGCACCAGTTTGCCTATCTACTCCTCAGGTGACACAGCTTGCAAACATCAAAAGTGAATCTGAAACAAGCATCTACCTATACCCACAGCACTCAACAAAGGCAATGCAGCACATTCAGCACAAAAAGGAAAAGAACGTGATCACTGCACGTCACCTGAGGATGTGCTCACGTACTTTTCTCTCTGTTGCAGTGAGCCAGAGTAAAGTCGAGCTGGTAAGAAACCACTGAGCTATTTACGAAGTGAAAGCAGGTAATTTCTGCTGAGAAAAAGTGAAACTGAAAACAAAATTAAATTGAAAATGAATTTTTTTTTTTAAAAAAAAAAGGACAGAGTGATCAAATGACACTCCCCAAGCTTCTAGGAGAAGCATTCTAGAAACTGTAAGCTGTATGCAGATTTGTTGACTCAAACAGCACGTATACCAGGAGCTCAGTGCTCTGACACACACACACACACACACACACACACACACACACACACACACACACACACACAATGGCAGCAGTTCGTTATTCCTCTGCTGTGCCATGTCACTGCCAAGCTGCAAGCTGCACAGCATGCCCAGGATACATGCTCTGCCTTAAAGAAACACTTTTGTTAACATACTAGATAGCAGGGAAAGAGCCCATGCAATTACAAGTTTGCCAGGCTTCCACCAGGGCACAATGTTACAAGGATCATCTGTAGACACTTGCCATGAGTGTGCCTGGCAGAAGGAGAGCAAAGAGAACACTGCAGCAGTGGCTGCACAATTTGGGGTCAGAAGCAACCTGGCTAGCACTAAGGATGGCATCCAGCAAACACCGTGCTTTTATCCCACCTTCCTAACAAACTGCTGGCCCTGTTCTGACCGCAGCTGCCAGGACAACTCTCATTCCTTTTCTCTTGCAATTATAAGCTATTCATTTTCTTCACTTTGTCAATTTTATATTTAAAATATTTATGAGGAGTACAAGGGATATTTTATCCAAAGAGTTCAAACCACTTGCTATGTTCTAATTACATGTTATTGCATCCCATAGGTAAGATGGATCAGTATTATTGCCAGTTTGCTATCAGCTTGTTACCTATACACTCCATACCACACGTGTGAGAGTTAATCCAAACCCCAGCCACGTCAGCTGATGGACAGAAACTCAGAAGGAAATGAGGAGCAAAGCCAGGAAAAAAATCTTGCAGCTCCATCTCCGTTTCCTCTGCCTTAATACCCATGTTTAACCAGTGTGTCTGAAAATACAAATGTCTTCAAACTGCCAACAAACTTAGTGCACAGTTCTGACTCTCATAGCTTACACAGCAACTTTAAATCCAGGCTGTCTTTGTGCTCTGCAGTTCTCCCAGGCACAGAGATAGCTGCAGCACATCAGTGCAGGGCAGGCACAGCGGTGTCCCATCCCTGCAGACACCAAGGTCAGGCTGCACGCTCTCTGAGCACTCACAGAGCTGTGGGTGTCCCTGCTCAGTGCAGAGCAGTTGGACCAGATGGCCATTAGCAGCCCCTTCCAATCAAACAGTTCTGTGACTCTATGATTTCACTGCACATTCCAGCTAGAAGATCAATTGTGTTGCAGCAATGGGTGAAAGTCACCATACAGCACTCCAATGACTGCATGTGGTCAGAGCAGAGCTGCCTGCTTAGCGCTGAGGACACCTCTTCCAGCAGGGCAGCTCCTCCAGCACGATGCTGGGTAATTGGTTCAATACTCATCCAAAGGGTGGCACGTCATTACCTGAATCCTTGTTACCATCTTTGTCAACACTGAGCCTCTTCCCTGCATAGTGCTCAGCTTTTATTACTCAGTCCACAAGATCTTGTAGGCCTTATCTACAGCTACTATACAAGGAAAGGGCACATTTCAATGAAAATTTCTGTGTCGTTAGGATGCCCTGAAGGCATTCAAAACCAGGCTGGATGTGGCTCCGGGCAGCCTGGTCTAGTGGTTGGCAGCCCTGCCTACAGCAGGGGGGTCGACACCAGACGATCATTATGGTCCTTTTCAACCCAGGCCATTCTACGATTAGTAATCCAGGATAGCTTTCAATAATAATAAAGTGAGAGTAAAACTACAGGAGACTATAACTAACATCATAGGATGAAATGCAGCTGCAGATGTAAAAACCAACAACCATCAGTACCACTTCTGACACAGTTCATAGTATTCTAAGTACAATGTGAAGACAAAGTTGGTGCAGAAGGCATGGAACATCTGACAAAGAGATTCTGAAGAAGTTAAATGCATTCTTTCTCTTAATTCTTTGAAAACCCAGAGAATTACTCTCCAAATGAAGCAACTATTTCTACAATAAATGCTCAACAACTTTCTCAGCCAAACTCAGAAGAACAGATGTATCTTCTGATTAAAGAAGCATGGTGACTCTTAGCAGGAGGACATCAACGTGTTGATGGAAAAGTCTGACCAAGAAAGAGGGCTCAACACACAAAATAATAAGATATCGCATGTAGAAACAGAAACTAAGCAAACAGATTGGAAATCCCATAACTTTTTTGGTCAGAACTGAAACAATAAGTCACTAGAATAGCTCATTAATGAATTTGTTAGCTTTTCCTCATCATTAGACAGGTGAGGTTTCTTGATAAGAATACGTAAGTGTTCAGAACACCGTCTAGCGGCATTAACGTCTGCGAATCTAAAGGGTCTTCTAAGAACCAGTCTAAGCATTTCAAGATCACCTCATCCATCCATGCAGGCCGACAGGTGCAGGACAGAAGTGTAGGAAATGGCATTGTGATCTTCCTCAGATATTCTCCAGCACTCTCTGCCATCTGTACGACTTTCAATGTTAAAGCTTAACTGAAAGGTCGTGTATCCAGACCAGAAATCAGGCAAGTCTTTAGAGTGAGCAACCCCTACCCAGCAACTAAAATAGAGTACAAGCATTACTGTTTCATACACAAAAAGTAGACATGAATGAAAGGAGATTGCTAAGAGATTGCCTATGGACTTCTTTTCTAGCTAGATTACACACAGTGGGGAAGCAGCATAAAGGTTCTTGGTCATTCTTGAGCCTGGCTGCTTTTGATGGTGCTTCTGTGACTTACATTTCTAAGGTGACGATGGAAAAAGTACTTAACAGCCCTGCAAGTTTGCTATTCTCTCCATCACAGATGGACAGAGCTGTGACCCAGGAGACACTTCCATTGCACAGACCCAGGCCACACAACAGCTGAAGGCTGAACCCTTTCACTTCAGCCTCCTGCCTGATCCATGGACCCCGGGGAGACGCTCAATACAGGGCATTAAACTTTGCTGTAGCTCTGGTCATTTGGTTGTATTCCTGAAAAAACAATCTGTGGCTCTTTCATGTGTTCTCATGTTATTCTGTGCTCATCCAAGAAGGTAATGAAAAACGTTTGCATTCGTTTCTATCCGGATTGGAATGCTGAAGACTTTGAAGTACCTGTTGCTAGAAATTTACAATGAGACACTGATCTACACCAAGTTACTCATAATAAAGATCTGAGCTGAAAGGGTAAATCATAACCACATGGCCCACCTTTAATAAGTGTTTTTTTATACAGATGAACAATCATAAATGCACACTATAATCACACATACTACACATGCAAACCCCAAGAAAGCCAAAGACTTCATCCCATTGTCCAAACACAGTGCACAGTGTCATCGAGCCAAAGGAACACAGGAAGATTATGAGCATTATTATTTTTTAGTAATGATTATGTATTAACTAGATTAAAAAAAAAATCACTATAATTTGCCTATATCTCAGCCAGCCTTTTCAGACTGTGAATGGCACATATGAGATAGGAACATCATTCCTGCCAATTTTCACGTTTCTGCTCTTTACCACTGAGATGTTAACGGCACAGAAAGGAGGCTGAAGAAGAAATCACAACTAATGATCCTTAGCTCAAATATTTCACTTTCTTCCCCACTTCTGTGCCAGATGAAAACTTTCAGGAAAAATGTTCTCCCTGAGAGCAAATGTACTGTATATACAGGAGGAACATGAAATGGAATCCATAGGCAACTCATTAAAAACAAAAGGGCAAGTGTAGCTGCAACTGCTCTCAGAGATCAGATGAATAATGGAAAATACAAAATGCAGAAGCGCTTTTCATTTTCAAAATTCTGTGGTCCTTTTTCATGACAGAATATATTCCTGCTTAACTCTGTGCCTGACTCGATTACCTACTAATAGTGGATAAAAGAGCTGGATGTGCTCATGTTAGAGAACGACACAGCTGCGCGAGCATATGGAGCTGACAGTGAAAGCCTCTGTTCTCCGCTCAGGACTGTGGGCCCATTGCTAAGCTGCAGCAGGAGGTGATCCCTCCCAGTGATCTGCCCTGGAGGCGGTGAGCAGGGCAACTCCCCTTCCCCACAGCAGGCATCCTTCCTCTCTTCAGCCTCTGACACCAACTCCACCAGATGCCGGCAGAAGCTCAGCAAGAAGGGGGTTTCACTCTCTGAGACCACGAGGAAATTACCTCCTCGCGTGCTGGATGCACTCCCTGGCTGGAATTCCAGCTATGGAGAAAACAAAATAGCAGAACAAGTGGGAACTCTTGCAGTTTAACCAGATTGCATCCTCAGTGAGCACAGACACCACCACTCATCTCTCTGTGACTTTCTGTCAAGAGCTACTTGGCCATTATGTGGAGGATAAACCTAAACTGCATCTCCTGCTATTATGACAATACCATCAAAAAGACAGGTGCAGCAGCAACTGCATTATAAATCCTATGTATTAATTAGCGTATCTGGAAAAAATACTGAGTACATTTGCATATTCAGATTGCACTGGACTAGCAGTTTAGGAAGCCTTGTTTTAAAGTATAATACTCACTGATCTATGGCTGGTGTCGTTTCATGTCTGCAATATTTTTTATATATCTTGCAAGTAAGATGATACATAATTTACACAACATAGCAATTAACAGAGGAGAATCACAGAATACAAGAAATCTGCTGAAAACCTTATTATTTCCATATACTCTATGTAAAAGGTATTTGGATGCAATGAGCAGCAAGATCACATCTCAAAATAGATGGTGCACGATGCCCTAAAATAGCTCATACACAGCCTTATTGTTTTCAAATAAAAACCTGGAAAGGAATTATTATTTATATCACTCAGCAAGTCTAGGAGTTTCTAATACACAGACACACATGGCTGTGCTCCCTGCCGCGGGCTGAGCACAGAAAATGGCTACTGTGAGAAATCCAGCTCGCTCCAGAGTTTGCTCACTGCACCACCCCAAAGCGAGACCCCAGCGCCTCTATCACATATCACAGCCCTGCTTAATGAAACGCCCTGGGAAAGCACTAGCTATTTTATATACAGAACTTACGGCAAGCAGGGCAACCAGCCCTACCAACCAGAAGGTCAGTGCCATGCAGACGATGAGTTTTGTTCACTGGAAGTACGCTGTAACAAAAATGCAATACTACTCGTCGGGTTTTACATTTGCCGTGACAGAAGTGGAATGCCTGTGAGAGCTATGAAGTTTTGTTAATGAAGCTTAGAGCAGGAAGAAAGATGCCTTGCTTGTGAAAGTGAAAGCACAGCGCACTGCTCGGCATGGGCACGAATCACAGCCGTCCCGCCAACGCTGCGGCCCAACAACGTAACGCAAACTCACAAGGGCAGAGCGAAGCCAGCTTTGCACTGCTCCAGGCACCGAGTGTTTGCTCAGCCCTTGTGCAATCACACAGCTGTACAAACCGTACCCAGGCTGCAGCCTGTGCGGCCGTACACAGCACAGCTAACCAGGCTGTAAAAACACCATTAGCTTTCGCTGTGGATACGCTATCAGAGAACTGAAGGGAACACATCCTAGGCTAACCCTGCTTCCTGAATCTTACCCCTGTGAGCACAACAAGGAGCCACGTCGCTTTTCTGGAGCCTTCCTCCTGAGCTGCAGGGCCACCGCAGGCAGCCGGCCTGCAGGACGCAACCGGGCACCTGTAACTGCAGGCACCCAAATAACAGGAGGCTGCATCCACTGGAAAAAGCACGTTGATTGGAAAGGGGAAAATATGCTACGGTAATATTAACAGTTGGGTCTAGAGAGGCCTATAATGCATCTGGAACATATTTTCTCCTCGCCATTTTTTCTCCATTCGTAGCTACACCGCCGCAATCACTTTTTCAAGATATTTTTATCCATTCCCTTCATTACAGAGCTATTTAGCAATAAGGAAAGCGCGGCGGGTTGGTTAATCAAGCCCCAGTTTTCTCGCAGAACTGATCTTTTGTTGCCTGAGAAACGACATCGCTTTCACTTTCCTGGTAACAGCACAGCACCTGCGGAGGGTGCAGCCCTGCTTCTGCTGGCCTGAGCTCAGCACAGCCCAGCCAAAGGCCTGTGCTGCTGGGGAGCACTTGTTCATTTATATATACTCATTTTATCATGAGTTCAAAACTTCACATTCCATACTCACAACTTTTATATATATATAAAAAATCTTTTTCTTGGCTTTTTTCTAAGGGAAACAAATCTCACTACAGTGGCTGTATGGACAGTTCATCCAGAACAATCAGCATGGTCTATGGAGTCCATAAAAACACTTTGCAACAAACTTTCTCTTTTTTTTTTCCTGGAATGGATCATCCGTAAGGAACCACATTCCAGGATTGCTGTTCATCCAGCTTCCTCACAATGCCTGCTCTGGTCTCCAGCAGACTCTAAAGCTGAAAAACTCTTCAGGAAAACCTGAAATAACATTAAACTAATAATTTACTTCCTTGTCCTATCTGAACTCTCAATATGAAACGCAATCTTTTCTGCACAATTGACAATTAACCTCAGTAACTCCCTCCATTGTGACAGTACTTTGGGAGACTGAATGGTACTTCTAGGATCACCTAAAAGTTAGGATTATCCTATGTTTAAGTATATTTATGTTCAGATTCGACCACAGCTGGTGATGCAGCCATGTAAAAGAGAGGACCCAGACACTGCCAGGCAAAGTCAGACCTACTTTAAGAAAAAGACAACGCTGAATGTTCCAGTAGAAGAGCTGCATCTTCCCCATATGCAGTTTTCAGTTTTGCAATGTAATAACAAGTGTATTTCTTAATCCAGATGGAGTTCATTTCGTGCATCAAGATTCTACAGCTAAAAATCATCCTAACCCTATGTTGCTATAGGAATTGGAATAGCAACTTCTAGTTAGCTAAACATTTTATAATAGTACTAAGATATCGCTGCAGCTATAACAGTGGCAACAAGTTTGCAAGTTTAAATACAGGAAAATAAATATGAAAATGAAGTCATAAAATTATTAAGGTTGGAAAAGGCCTTCAAGACCATCCAGTCCAACTCTCCACCTACCACCAATATTTCCCCAACTAAACCACGCCTCTCAGCACAACATCTGAACGTTCCTTTAACTCCTCCACCACCTCCCTGGGCAGCCCTTTCCAGAGCCTGACCACTCTTTGGAGAAAAAAATTTTGCCTACCATCCAACCTAAATCTTCTCTGGGTCATTTTATTTAAATATTGTATGATCCTCCTACATCAAAAAGAGCAGATACAGATATTATAAAGCACTGGTAACAAAACAACCACTGCAGAGAGATAAATGGTTCACCTCCTTCCACCTACATGAAAGAATAACCCAGAACAGATTTCTAGTGGAACAAACTTGAGCAAAAGGACTCACCTTGCCTTGAGTTCTGCAAACTCCAGTCACAGGTGACCTGAGTAGTTGGAAGCCTGCTATTAAGTGTAACTACATCCACCTGTTAAGATTTTGCATCCACAGACTGTCAGCAAAACTAGCACAGCTGCTCCCAGCTGCAGCAATGATGCACAGGAAAAGAGGGCATCTCTAAAAGGGGCAGCTCCTAAACCCTATGCAGCTTCATAGATGCTAACCACCACCACCATCCAGAAGCAGACAAGGTGGTGCTGCTCACAAGGCATGCTCTGACAAATGATTCTGCCATGTCAATTCAGTGACCACAGCTACCAGAGGCCATTGTGTACATAAAGGCTGTAGGATTTCCATGCGACCTTGGTGGCTCCTTCCTTGGGTTCCCACTTTTCAGTCTCATGAAAGTTGAGGAATCCAGCATGGTAACTGCAACAGGGAAACCTGGGAGTGCTGTGCTACAGAACTGTTCTGCCACTTTAGGTGCAGCGGAGGAAAGGCAACAGCAGGACCAGCACAACTCCTGAGGAGCACGAGAGTCAGGATCTCAAATCATCCCAGCTCTACGAATCTCTGCGGCGAAGGCTCTGTCCTTACAAACAGTGGTGTCCAACAGCCCCGCTCCGCTGTCTGCAGAGGCATTTCTTTTCCTTTTGTCTCTAAGACCGTCCCTGTCCTCTCCAGGGCTGGAAGCACAGAGATGACTGAAAGTCGGTTTAATAAGAAGGCACAAAGCAGTGCTCTGCGAACACGCCGGTGGCTGCACAGTTCAGTACGCCTCATAAACAGCGGCTGGGGGCCCTGATGATGGGTAACATATGGAGCTGTAACAAAGGGCCTCTGAAAGCTTTGCAGAGAAAGGAACAGAGCCAATAATGACCTTTCTTCTTAGAGATCAGCAACACCCCGTGCACAAAACCAATACAGACGCCTTTGTCCAGCAGAAAAAACCTACCTGCCATGTACATCAATTCAACCCAATATGCTATTGCAGTGACTCTGCTGCATGCAGGCCTAGCTCCAGAGCAGCAACCAGAAAAAGGAGGGAAGCCTCTGATGTACCACTTTCTCCTGCAGCACAAAAGTTCAGATACAGCAGTGGGCAACCGTTCAGAAGCATGTGAGGATTAACTGGGGATCTATAAAGAAAGTTCTAATGCTGCTTCACATGAGAAATCCTGTCTGCAGATCACAGAAGTTCCCGTGACGAGTGAGACCTGAAGGCCCCGAGAGAATGGCTCGTCCCTCCCAGCTCTCCTTCAGGACACATCGCAGAGCGGTCGCTTCCAACCACAGTTGATGGCACATCAGCATTGGGCTGGGAAGTGCTCATCAGTCATGTGGTGATGGCTCAGCTCTCCTTCCAGCTTCTAAATGGCACTGAGCAAGTTTAACTTACTTTTAATATTTTAGTAATACGAGTTTACTGTCAGATTCGTTGAAGTGCCACAAAGACGTTACCCAGCATTAGGGGACCACACCTGACACGTGAACAGAACCTGGAAAAACATGTACTGAAATATCTGGAAGCTACGGTCAGGGAGGAAGCATGAAAACCCCTGACCTGCTTCTACAGAACCGAAAAAGGAATGGCATTTTTTTTTTGAAATGTGCTCTGTGTATGTCAAAAAGAGAAAGAAATTGTTTCTAAATGGGCAAGCCTCTTTAAGAGTGCAGAGCTTTGCATGCTCAGTCACTTTTGTTGCAGTGCAGCAACTATACAGGCATTAACACCAACAGTGCTTTGAGCACCTAGGAACGAGACAGGACAACTCTCCACGACCAAATCCCGGTGTATATTTTTCACAGCTGATGATTTATTGTCTCATACAACATCGAGCAAATCAAACAGGGACAGATACAGGTGGTTCCTTACTCCATCAGCCACCTCCTTTCTCCAACACGGTTATCTGAGGCTCCCTCGGAGTGCGGTCTCCTCAGTTTTGCTCACTATGAAACCCACCTCTGGGGCGCTACTTTGGGGCTGAGCAAAGGCCCTGTGCCCCCTCCGTCGGTCAGCTCCCCTGACACAGAGCCCGGCACCTCCCCTCGGACACGCGGGAGATGCAGTCGCGGCGCTGTCCTGCTCGGGTACAGCCAGCATCGCTTCCAGCACACATCGCACAGCCACGCTTGGCGCTCCTTCCCCGCGTCCTTAACCAACTTCCCCGTCTCTCGCAGAGGAGGAAGGAAAAAAAAAAAAAAAAAAAAAAGGAAAAAAACCCCAACAACCCCAAACGCTCCAACGCTCCCGAAGTTCAATTCCACACAGCATTAACTCAAGTACGCCCGCTCTGCCATTGTCTCCCGCACGGCAGCCGCCCGCGCTCGCTTTCCATGACAAAGCTTCAGGGCGAAATGAATCGAGGGCCGAAGTCCGCCTTTGTCCGCCCTAAACAAACTCTCCCGCGTCCCCCCTTCGTCTCCCCCGGCGGCGGCGGGGCAGGGGGCAGCGCCGGGAGCCGCGGGGAGCCCCTCCTTCCTTCCTTCCCTCCCCGTGAGGCGGGGGCCGTGCCGCGCGGGGCGGGCTCGCTGCTGCCGGGGCTTCCCCGCACGGCCGCCGCCGCCGCCGCCCCGCCTCAGGGCCGGCGCTCTCCCGCCCCGCCCGCCCCCGCGGCTCCCGACACGGACGGGCTTCCCCTCGCCCTGCGGAGCCGCCGCGGCCCCGCGCTTCCCCCTCCGCCCGTTCCGCGCCCCGCCCAGTCGCCCCGCCAAGGGTTAAGCCGCAGGGCCGGCCCGGCGATGGCAGCCCTGTCAGACGGGAAACACCCGGCTGCCCCAACAGGGCCGTGGAGCGCGGCGGCGGGGTTTGTGTGTGTGGGGGGAGGGGGGTGCGGGGACCGAGATCCCCGCGCGGGCGAGGCGAGGCGCGCCCGGCCCGGAGCCGCGGGCGTGGAACCCGCTGACAGCGCGGCGGAGCCCCGCCGCCTCCCCGGGACGCGGCTCCACGCCGCCCGAGCCCGAGCCCGCCGCCCTGGGTCCGTAACCGAGAGGACGAGGCGGGAGGTGCGGGACGCGGCCCGACCCGACCGCTCCCGGCCGGCGGAGCGGCCCCGTAGCCGGGCTCAGGCGGCCGGCGGCACGGTCCGCGCTCCGCTCCGCGCACCCCGCGGCGCCCGCCCAGAGGAAAGAAGCACAATGCCCCCCCCCGGCCCGATGACACCGGAGCCCCGGGGAGGAAGGGGGATGGGGGGGGGCTTTGTGCGGGGAATCGAAGGAAAATTTACAAAACAAAACAAAAAAATACAACGCGGAGAGAGAGAGAGAGAGACGGGGGCAGAGTGGCTCCTCCTCCTCCTCTCCAAAAAGGCCTGTTGGAAAACTGCACACGGCGGTGGCTCCAACGGCACCATCGCCGCGCTCTGCCCTGGAGAGAAAAGGAGGCGAAAGGCACCGAGCGAGAGGGGGGGGACCGCGGCGAAAGGGGGGAAAAGGCCCGATCTCTTTGTGTTACCTGCCGTGAAACCAGTCCTTGCAGGCATCGCATTCAATCATGAAGCGGGTTACGTCGTAGGGCAGCCTACAGATGCAATAGACGGGCACCGTCGCCATGTTAGCTCCCTTCAAAACAACACCGGACTCGCGGAGAGGCGAGCGGGGCTGGCGGCGGCTCCTGCCGCTCGGTAGCTTTGGCGGCTGCTCCTTCCGAAACGCGAGCGAATTTGCGATGTCGAGAGACGGAGCGGGGAGGGGGGGAAGGGGGGAGAAAAGAAGGGGAAAAAAAAAAATCAGATAATGCAATTACGGCTCCTCAAGGGCGAGCGAGCAATGTCAGAAAAATAAGAAAGGGCTTCGCAAAGTTTGGCTGCATGGTTCCTCCGGCTCCGCGAGCGCCGACCGGACCGGGGCTTTTTTGTTGTTGTTGTTGTTAAATGATTATTATTCAAAATGTTTGGCGAAATGCATTATATTGCATGCCCCCTGGTGACAGTACAGTACCGAGGCTTTTCATAAACACTCCGAAATGTAGCCCTTTCCTTGTAATGTCCTTACGTCAGCTTGCAACATTGCAATATTTCCTCTGCCGGGGCTGGGGCTGGGGCGGGCGGCGGAGGAGGGGGAGGCGAAGCGAGGCGAGGCGGCAGCGCGCGGCCGGGAGGAAGCCGCGGTGAGTCGGGCTGCGCGCCGCGGGGCTCCGCGCCCGGGGGGGCCGCGCGGTTTTGCGCCTCGCCACCGCGGGGACTCGGGAAAGAAAGTGGCCTGGGCGCGGCGGGGCGGGGCGGGGAGCGCCGCGGGACGGGGCACGGAGCGCAGGGAGCGCTGAGCGAGCCGCTGCTCCGCGTATGGGAGTGTGTTTGTGTGCGTCTGTGTGCCCCGGCAGCGCGCGAACTGCGCGACAGGCGCAGCAATCCGCGGCTGCGGGTACCGCGCTGTGCTGAGAGCGGGAGTGCGACCCGGAGGGGTGGAGGGCCTCGGGACACAACCTGAGTGCGTGTTGGTTACTATTAAAAAAAAAATAAAAGTCATTTGTTTGTTGGAGTTATATTGTAGGTTTGGAAGGCACCCACCACTTCCATCAGGGCCAGCCCCATCGCTGTCGCACGCTGGGCTCCTACCCCGGAGCTGCAGGTAAAAGCCCTGCACCTACCGAGCACCAGCCCAGAGCCATGGGCTGTGGGGTACGTGCCGAGAGTCGCCTGCACCACTACTCCTGTCGGCTGCAAAAGCCCAACTCCGCGGTGCTTCCTCCTCTTAGATGAGCGAGCGGTGGTGGCGAAGGCAAAAGAGGAACCCTTGAGTTTGAGCTGAGATTGAGAACGCAGAGCTTCTCTCCCTCCCTTTGCACAGAGTCCTAAGACCTCCCTCTGGGTGGTTTTGGAAGGCATGCTTCAGGGTGCTCTGCTGGGACACACGTCCTGAGCATCTTCAACAGCTGCTGACACTTGTCCCTTCCAAGTATGAGAACGCCATGTAAAGTAGTCACAAAGTGTCACAGCTGATGTGCAAGTGCTAGTTATGACTGATTTGGTGTCTTGAATCCATCTCATTTTCAGAGGGAGGATAATATCTATCTGTCTTAGAGCAAAAAGAGAAAAAACGGGCGTTTCTTGGTGTTTTTTCAGCAGTCTGCCAAATCCAAAATCACCCTGTAGTGGACAAAGGAAATTCAAATAACTTCAGGTTTTGCAGTGTCAAGAGACAGAGCAGAGATGGAGGGAGGGGGAAAAAATCAGATAAAGCAATGTCAGAAGAATAAGAGAGGGCTTCCCAAAGTTTGGCTGCATGGTTCACTGGGCTCTAAGAGAGAAAAAGCCACTGTTGATACAGGCAGAACCTATCTAGGCTGACTGAAGAGAGACAGTCAAAACTGCTCGCCTTGCCCCTTGGATTCCTGTGCCACAGAAGTGACTTTCAGGCAGTGCTCATGCAGAGCTACGTGTGAACTAGTGCAGGGAATGGCATTCCTGGGCCCACCACGAGTGTTTACCATTGAAACTGAATTTCTGGCATAGCTCAAGGTGTGGTAACACAGGACTGAGATTATAGGCCTACATCATGACTCAGTTGTTTTGAACGACATCTTGAGATACACAAAGTGTCTGTTTTCCTCAGTGCTGAGCGGCAAAAGTATATACCTGCGAAAAAAACAGACCCCATTTCAGCCTGAATTGAACTATTGAGATTTTAATTGCTCAGTGTTTCAACCTGAAAAGCAGAAGTCGAGGGCGTAACTTGGGTTCACATCGCACCAGGGGAGGTTCAGGTTGGATATTAGGAAAAACGCTGAAAGAGTGGCTGGGTGCTGGAACAGGCTGTGTCACCTGGGTGCTGGAACAGGCTGTGTCACCTGGGTGCTGGAACGGGCTGTGTCACCCAGAGGTGCTCGAGAAACATGGAGATGTGGCACTGAGGGACGTGGTTAGTGAGCTAGTGAGCTGCTGGTAGGTGGGTGGTTGGACTGGATGATTGTAGATATCTTTTCCAACCGTAATGATCCTATGAGTCTGTGATAATGCAGGATGAGGAGACGAGGCCCAGACAACTGCTGCATGGGCTGTGAGCACCTTTCTTGTCCTCTCCTCACTGCCACACCTGTTAGAACCTCTCAGCTTTGCAGGAGAGGTTTAAACACATTCACTGATTTTCATAGAGTCAGATGCTCTTGCAGTGGCGGTCTGGGCTGCCATTTCTTGAGCTTTCCAGATGTTCTTATCATTTTGAAGCGTTTGTCCTATCTATTTCCTCTACAGCAAGTGCTACATAAGCTTATTTTACTTATGGTGCTCTGTAGCTATAGACACATTGTCCCCAGTTATTTCCATGCTAGTGCAGAGAAGTAAATCAAATTTTTTGGTTTTTGTTTTTTTTTTTTCCCTTCGACCATATCTGCTCTTTAAATAAATGTTCACAAAGAAGCTGTCCATGAAAGCAACCTTGAAACAACAGGGATCACTGGGCTTCAGCAAGAGAGGAGCTTGTGGTGACTGCATACCTCTCTTCCAGAGTTCCCCATCTGACACCACATCTTAAAACATTGATTGCTTAGATCTCACAGAACGCTGTACTGTGCTATCTTGGCTTCTGAACCAAAGTAAGGAAGGAAGAATTGAAATTGTAAAAGAGGGCTGGGTTAAAAGGCTCTTTCATATAGCAAATTAGCTTAAAGATTTAGTTAAAGAATGGACTTCGTAACAGTTAACACAGATTGCATTTATCACTCCATACCTGTGCTTTCCCACTTAAACACTCTTCTTTTGCTTCATTTCAGCACACAATCTCATGTTACACAGAACCTTGACACGAGGGAGCAACTTTATTGGACATCAGCATCATTCTGACGACAACACTGTCTTCAGCACGGGTCACCAGAGTCTGGCAGGGTACACGAAACCCAAACGCCCATCCTACCAGAGGCCAATAAAAACTTACCAGTTTCTCTTATAAGATTTCAAAGTCTCAGATGCATTTCTTGGAGGATAAAACTCCAATCGTTTGGGAAGTCCCTCACAGTCCATCCTCTCCTGCCCTGCTTCCCAGTACTGCTGTGCCGCAGCGGGAAGCGAGCAGGGATTCCTCCTTGGTGCCCAGCATGAACCCCAGCCACGGCCAGCGGAGCCCGGGAAGGGCAGCAGGAGCGGGGTGTAAAGCAGCAGGATGGCTGCCACGTTTTGCTAAGCGACAGGAGCGAGCGGTTTGGTGAGAGCAGTGTTTGCATTGAACGTGGTCCTGACGTTCGGAGCCCAGGAGGCATCGTGCCAGCTACGCCTTCTCGCTCCTCACACACCTCACAGCAAACTGAACCTCCAGGAGGATACTTACATACAGAGTAAGTGAACGCAGAGCCCAGGAGCACACCATGCCAGCCCATGGAGCCTCACGGAGAGGCCTCGTAGCTCAGCTCCGCTTTGTCTCGTGCTGTGGGAGCAGGCCTGTTACCGGCCCCGAGCCGGGCTGCGGCCGTCATTTGCTGCATCTGGGTTACGCACAACGGAACGCCCCAGCATTTGGGAAGCGTTTCAGTAGAGGCCCGGTTGTGCTCGGCAGCCCTCTGCAGGCAGGCGGGGCGGCGGGAGCTCCGGCACTGCTTGGCACTCGAAAGCACACAGCTCGGTGCTCCCGCACAGCCATCCCTCCTTCCTGCACCCACAGCCGCTGCCTGCTTCCCAGTGCCTGCCTACAGCGGGCTTCTCTTCTCCCTGGAAGCAGCCAGCACGGTTGGGCACTACGCAGAAGCCTTCTGAAAGTGATGCTGGTCACAGTTGCTCAGGTGTCACGGCAAGCGTGCAGCCTCATGCAGAACGTCCATCGATGCATTTAAACCGTTTGTGAACAAGATTTCACGACACGGCAGTCGGGCTCCTATTCTGTTATCACTCAAAGCACGCTGCCGTGTGAGAGCTGCCTTCGGCCTCCATCCACTGCAGTACCATGGCCCAAGGAAGGGCTGTGTTGAAGACTTGAAGCTCCTTCTGCAGTTCAGTTCATACAAGGAGCATGACACAACTTATCCTGAACGGTAACGCAGAGCATTCTGAGCTAATACAGCTCCTGAAGGCAGCAAGGAGCTCGTTTGTTACCACTAAACCAGAAGTTTGCAAAGAGAAAGAAAGTTTTAGAATGTTTGTCAGTTTTTTTTGTTTCAATTTGCTGAGAACTTGTGGTAAAGCAGAAGGTAGCACCTAAACAAATTGATCTGGATGAGGGAGTTTGATCTGGATGAGAGGATTGAGTGCATCCTCAGTAAGTTGGCAGATGACACCAAGTTGGCGGAACTGCCGATCTGCCTGAGGGCAGGAAAGCCCCACAGAGCGACCTGGACAGACTGGATTGCTGGGTTGGGGCCAATGGGATGAAGTCCAGTAAGAACAAGTGTGGGTCCTGCACTTTGGCCACAACCCCAGGCAACGCTACAGGCTTGGGGCAGAATGGCTGGAAGACTGACCTGGCAGTGGGCTCTCAGTGCATCGGGGCCAGTTCCCTCCCTCCTTGACAGGCAATGGGAGCTGAGAGGAAAGGCCTCAGCTGCTCCAGAGAGCTGTGCCATAGGCTGGGTCAGGTGGAGCAGTACGGTGCAGCTTCAGCACAGTGCTCTGTCGCAGGACCCTGACACCAATACAGCCCTGCCTTCAGAATGGACAGGAAAATACTGTCTGCATGGAAGCCGGCAGATCTGACAATCACTGTCTTTATTCGTATTGGATTCCACTCTGGAAATAGCAAGGCTCTCTTCTTATAGACAGGATGGTGTGCGTAAGGAATAACAAACTATCTACTCTTTGGACCTGTCCCAGGAGCTGCATGCACAGGGTGCGTGGCACGGAGCTGTATTCATCCTTCACACTGTGCCCCAAGACTTGGTGCCTTTCTCTGCAGGCAGACAGCTTTGGTGTGGCCGCATTCTGCACCAAAGCAAGGAATCACCTCAGTAGGGCAGCTGAATTCCTGTCAGTGAGGAGCTATGGGGCACCATCACCTTCCACGTGTCAGCAGCTCAGATGTGGTGGGGATGGGGCCTGGAGCAGCAGCATCAGAGCCTCCAGTTACAAAAGTGACCCTTGAAGAGCTCCCAGGGGTGAACAGAGTGTGGCACGTCAGTTTGCATGGCAGTTCCTGCAGGCAGGGTGAGCTGGGGAACAAAGCATCCCTCCCCACTTGGGAAACCGGCTTACCTACCAACTGCCTCCTGGAGAACACATCTAGCTATGCTCTCTCCAAAAAGAATGTGGAGACCCAGATCGAGTGCCTGCCAGAAACGTGGCTGCTCAGATTTCTGGCTGCAAGGAGTGCCTGAGCTTGCTGCTGTCACTGGAGGGTGGCTGAGATACCTCCTGCAGAGCTCAAGGAGGAGGTGGAGAGATTTAGGAGCATCAAAGAGTGTGAGCAGAAGACAGACTGGTGGAGTGACTCCCAGCCATACCACCAAAGAAGGCACTGGGGTGATACACCCCAAGTAGGTCACCACTGGGAAAAGGGAGGGAACCTAAGAGATGGGGACAGATGGAAACAGGTCTTTGCTTGGTGTCATAGGCAAACCCTCTTCTTACCTGCCTCGCCTCTCCAGGTGCCCTTATACAATAAGCTTAAGGCTCTGGAACTCCAAGGACAGGTAATGTCTCTCGACGATATCTGAAAAGTCGTGGCAGTCAGGTGACGTCCCAGCGACTGGAAAAAAGCATCACCACATCCTTTTTTTAAGGTAGGGTAGAAAGGAAGACCCAGGGAACTGCTGACCTGTCAGCCTCACCTCTGTGCCGGGGAAGATCATGGAGCAGATCTTCCTGGAAGCTATGCTTAGGCACAGTGTAGAGGAGGTGATAGGGATAACCAGCATGGCTTCACCAAGGGCAGTTTCTGCCAGAGCAACATCATTGCTTCTCATTATGGCACCAAATCAGTGGGCAAGGGAAGAGCCACTGATGTCACCTATCTGGACTTCAATAAGGACTTTGACATGGTCCCCCATAACATCCTTCTCTCCAAATTGGAAAGATGGATTTGACAGGTGGACTGTTCAATGGATGACAAAGCGGTTAAGAGATCGTATCCAGAGAGTGGTGGTGAAAGGCTCAATGCCCAGAGGGTGATCGGTGACAAGAGATGTCCCTTGGGGTCAGTAGTGGGATCGGTGCTCTAACATCCACATCAGTGACATCAGCAGCGGCATCGAGTGCAGCCTCAGCAGTTTGCAGATGACACCAAGCTGTGGGTGTGGCTGAGGGATGGGATGCACATAGACAGGTTCCAGCAGTAAGCCCAGAGCTTCTCGAGGTTCAGCAAAGCCAAATGCAAGGCCTGGCACCTGGCTTGTGGCAACCCCCACTATCAGTACAAGCTGGGGGTATAAGGATGAAGCTCAGCCCAGCCAAAAAGGACATGGGGGTACTGGGGAGTGGTCAGCTGAACATCAGCCAGCAATGTGCTCTCACAGCCCAGAAAGCCATCTGTATCCTAGGCTGTGTGAAATGCAGCGTGGCCAGCAAGGCGAGGGAGGTGATCCTGCCCCTCTGCTATGTGCTGTGAGACCTCACCTCGAGTACTGTGTCCAGATGTGGAGTCCTCAATACAGGAGTGACATGGATCTGTTGGGAGTGTGTCCAGAGAAGGGCCAGAAAAAATGACCCTAAGGATGGAACACCTTCCTGCAAGGACAGACTGAGAGCAGGGGCTGTTCAGCTTGGAGAGAAGGTGACACGGAGACCTGAGAGCAGCCTGACAGTATCTAAGGGGGCTGTCAGAAAGAACTCTTTAGTGGGGTCTGTGTGATAGGACAAGTGGTTTCAAACTAAGAGGGCAGATTTAGATTGGATATAAGGAAGAAGTTTTTTACAGTTAAGGGCAGTGAGGCACTGGCACAGCTGCCCCGAGTTGGTGGATGCCCTGTCAGCGCACCCAAGTCAGGCTGCATGGGCACGAAGCACCTGATGGAGCCGACGGTGTCCCCGTTCATTGCAGGGGAGCTGGACTAGATGGCCTGTACAGGTCCCTTCCATCTCAAACAATTCTATGACATTTCTCAGGGTCATTAACAGGAAATCTTAGGGCAGAACCAGTGCTTTGTGAGAACCCTTTGCTAGCACACAGACACACTGCACCTCAGTGCTGCACCATCCCTGCACAACTGGCAGCAGAAATGAATGCAGAGAAGAGAGAACCACCAGCTATACACAGATCAGCTGCCTCAATCGCAAGCAATAAAAATTGGGCTGGCTCTTCATTTGATACCCACGTTCTCAGTCAGGGCACCAGGGAGCGCTGGTACCCAGTCTCCAAGCACCTCCCAGCTACCAAGAGCTTGTTCTCCCTGCCCAGCGTCCAGCAGCCCTGCTGCCAGGAGCCAGGCACTTCAACAGGCCACCAAGCAAGGAAGTGATCCAGGCATTGTGCACAAGTAGCACAAGCCAAACTTTCATCATCATCTGTGGAAGAAATCAATGGTTTTTGTTACACGTGGGGCAATGATCTGGATCACTTTGGCGTACCTCCACATCCTAACTTTAGCCATGCTCGTGTGGATAGCTTGTCACCCTCTGGTGCACATGCAGAGTTTGGTGGCTTGGTTACAGGACAGAAATGAGTGAAATGACCGTATTTCCAGCACATGGCACAGAGCTGACATCTCCCATGTACTTAACAGCAGCCAAGATTTATTTTTATTGACGTCACTGCACGGCCGTGCCTGGTTTGTCTCTGCTACTGCAAAAGGAGGTAAATGATGCTTTGGAACCTCACTGGAACATGAGCTTGGCTACACCTCCAAAACAGACAAGTGAAGAATAACACGACATGGATTCCACTATGTGAAATACTACGTAGGTAGAAAGGGACATGATCCCAAGAATTTAGGCAACATGAGCCCCAGCATGGCGGCCGCTACACCAGGAGAACTGCTCCCCTCCAGCTCACTTCGCTTCTGAAGGGAGAGATGAAGAACGATTGCTGTAATTTGCACAGAACACAGCTGCACTGCTATAAACTGCATCCACACGAAGCGC